TCTGCATGTGGTCGCCAGTTTGCCCAGCACCACTTACTGAATAGGTTTTCCTCTCCCCAGTGGTTGTTGATGGAGGCTTTGTTGATTAGTTGGTTGAGAAATTGAGGCTTTGCTCTCGGAATCTCTATCCTGTTCCATTGGTCCATATGCCTATCTGTTCTTGTACCAGTACCAGGGTGTGTCCATTATTGTAGTCTTATAGTAAAGTTTAAAGTCTGGAAGTGTGATATCTCCCGCTTTGTTTCTTTTGCTAAGAATTGTTTTGGCTATTCATGGTTATTTATGTTTCCATATGATTATTTTTAGTCAGGGTCTCACTCTATTGCAGTGAGTGAAAGGCAGTGGCATGCTCACACCTCACTGCATCGACCTCCCAGGTTCAAGCAATCCTTCTGCCTCAGCCACCTGAATAGCTGGGACTAATGGTGCACACCACCACACCCAGTTATTTATTTTTGTAGAGACAAGGTCTTGATATGTTGCCCAAACTGGTCTCGAACTCCTGGGCTCAAGTGATCCTCCCACCTTGGCCTCCCAAAGTGTTGGAATTATAGGTGTGATCCCCGACACCTGGGTTAAATAATGTCTTAAATGAGTAGCTCCAAAACTGGCATCTCCAGTGACCTGCTAGAACAGATTTATGTTTTTGCATTGGTTTGAGAGTGAACTCAGCCATTGTACACACATCAGTGTATCTCCCCAACAGCATGTCAAGGTTTTCCAGTTGTCCTTTACCTCTTCACTAATGTCATTCTTTCACAATTGGTCGTGTGCACAGTTCTATTCCAAGCCTGAAATTAATTCAATAAACTACAAAAACCTGCCAAGCAGTTGGCAGGAAAAAACCCTGATTTCTCTTTCCAATCAGACTTCACATGATGGGGGGGACCACATGAATTTTCTTTATTGCCCTGATTTTAGAGACCTATCAGTACATGGAACAAGAGATTTGTTTCATTCTGGGGTCTATCTCCAACTTATAGTAACTACAATCACTTTTATTAGTTTGCTTTAGTATAGGATTAGGATGTTCACACTTGCATTCAAGCCCATTTATCTATTGGCTGCACAGCTATATCAGATGTTTAGGAGTTTCTGAAGGCTTGGGGACATGATATAAGACATTCCCTATGTTCCTGTTCTTTCTTGCTTTACCCACCACTTCCCACTAATATTTAACAAACTTGCATATTTGAAAGCTTTCTGGGCAAAACCTTCAAAAAATTCCTTTACAGTTTTTCCAGTATCCACCCCGGTCCTCAATTTTGTGGAAAATCTCATTAACATGAATATATAGCCATGGTTTTCTCAAGTTGAAAGATATCCCAAAGTTTATCATGTCAAGTAGTTCATATGTGGGATGACTACTACAATTCTAATTTATTACAAACCAAGACCAAGATACAAAGATAATGCTACACTGAAGTTTAACTGGCCATGCACTGGAAAGAGCAACTTTTTTTTTTTTCCTTCTGTACAAGTTATCCTCTTTTCCAACAACCAACCAAATCCCATTTGAGATTAATAGTGCATAATGACTGGTGCAGGCTACACAAAGTCTTTACAGAATCAAATCTGAACTCAAACACACAATATACTTGCTTCTCCTAAGCTGATGGAATGATATTGGGTTAATGAGACTTAGATTGCTGGTGAATAAAACATGTGAAAAAGATAGTGATTCCTATTCAACCAGCTTTTCTGTTTTGGGTTCTGGAAAACACAGTAATGAAAGTGCTAAAGTAAGAAAAGAATGCTGAAAGGCGCAGGTGGTGCAGACCTACTCTCTTTGCAAAAGGTCTAAGTAACCTAATGCATGTCAGGCTGATGCAGGGATGTCGACTGTAGAACTTTTGGGGAACCATCTGGTTCAGAATTCACTTGACCTTCCTAAACATCTCTAGGAAGCAAGTCTGTTATAAGTATGCTTTATAGCATCCAGGTATTTAACCATAGACAAAGCAAGGTCACTAAAATATAATTGTAAGGTCCATTTACAGGTGTCCTGGAAAGTGGCTGAAATTCTAGAGCTATGCTTATTTAATTAGACTTTCTCATACTTACTTAACTATTAGCGTTAACCACATCATAACCTTTGGCAAATATTCACAGCAAGGTTCAGAAAACTTAAAAAAAATAAAAATAAAAAAGGCTTCCATTTGAATGGTCTAGTGTAATTTGAGCCTTAGTTGATACAACTACTACATTCACATCCTGCTATGACAAATGAACAATACCTAAATATAGCATTTTATGAGTTTCTTCCTATAGCTTTCATCTTTAAAAAGAGATTCAAATGCATTTCTTAATTCTACACCCCGAGCACTCTCAATCACCAATATGCTTGCAAACACAAATTCTCCTTTTTGTTCTCTGGCCCCTTAGACACCCACCCTAGCTAAGAAGAAAAAAGAGTAATGCTGATTCTTTTTAGGTCAGAAACTGATTTAAGGGGCTAAATTATACTGGCCTTTAAGACAATATAATTGAAACATGAACAACTTTGTTTTTCTGTAGTTAACTGGATGTAATGCCTTTTCCTTTCATTTGTTTCAACACCACAAACACTAGATCCACTTTTTATTCCCTGCCTCTTTTCCAATAAGGTTGTAATACACACAACCAAATTAGAATCTCCCCTCTCTCACTAATAATAAAGCCAGGAAGTTGGATTTAAAGTGTTGTTTGTTCTTGTGCTCCTTGGAAGAACTCCCAGTCTTTAAATTGACAGTGCAGCTGTTGACTGAAAATTATTCAAAAAGATTAGTACATTCTCTAATTTTGTCAGACACGTTGGTTCTAAGGATTTGCAAAATACTCATGTCTAAGTAAAGACAAAATACTTACATTCATAAGAACTTAACAAAAATAATTTGGATCTCAGAATTTAAAAGTTCAATCTCATTTCAAGTCAGTACTAGATGACAGAAGTGCCCTGTGATGACCAAACGCTTGGGCAATGTAGGGTGACCGCCACCATTGAGCCAAGATACAATCACATGCTTCAGAGTCAGGGGCTGGCTCCTTAAAGCAAGCCAGCTTTTCTAGGCAGAGATAGACACAGGATGTTGGTGGCTTCTATCAACACTCAGATGATATGTGAGAAAGGGTGACATTTGTAGCCATAAGTCTTTCAGAAACAAACTAAATCTGCAGTTTATCCTTAGGAAAACAGAAAGAGAAAGAGGATACAACAGGATTATGGTGCACGCGAAAGAGTGACTGAATGAGTCAGGTCCGGCCTGTACTGTTAACTACCTCTGTGAAATCAGAGCATAGGCTTGGTGTGTCCACATGCCTCTGTGCAGATAACTCAATTGTCTCCACATCTTTGTTATGAAATAAGTATTTTAGATTTCAAGGATGTAAATGTAGTTGTATCTTAATGTCCACCACACATTTCGTTCACAATAGCTGTTTAAATATGGTGATACTGATGCTTCAGAAATCCTTAGAATTAGGCCTTGTTGCAAATCCACACATATCTAGCAACAGCTAAGATAAAACTAAATTTAGACCATGAAATGCCAACCAACTCAAAACAGAAAATTGTGTTTTGTTAAAAGTTCCAACAATCTATTGTTGTTACTAATAAAATTGAACTTTCCCCTAAATAGAATTTTTTTTTTTCAAAAATCCTAAGGTAGATTTTTTTGTGGTTGTTAAAGAATTCAGGGCCCACTTCAAATTTATGAGAAATGCCCCAATACATACATATCTGACTCAACTGAAAGCCACTTATAAACTACGTGTTATATTTTACTCAAAATAATTGTGTGCTCTCTAGATGATTTGTCAGTCTTGATGATGGTGCAGGTGACTACTTTAGACTCACACTGAACTTGTGTAATAAATACTGCATCAATAGTTAGCACAACCATCAATGTGTTTTTTTTCTAAAGCTTTGGCAGATGCACCTGGACATGCTTTGTTACAGAGACAGATTTTTCCACCTACTCCTCACAGCAAAGGAGAATGCCGTGTATCACATGCAGAAGTGCAGCAGCAGCTGCCAAGTATGTCTGTCTCCTACAGATTTATTACAACAGTAAGCTTTTCCCAGGGGTTTCCCTAAAAATCAAAGTTAAAACAAAGTCATGAATAAATAACCAAGAGATTATAAAATAATACTGTGTTTTGGAGTGAGATATGACAATGTCAATAAAATAATTGTGCAGGGTAAACTTTCTCAACTTTGCCACAAGGATCTTTTCTTGTGCTACACACAGGCCTTATCTTACACTGGTCCCTTCAGAAGGCCAGACCTACAGCAGAGTTACTTTAGGCACCTCTCTGCTGATTAGATAAACATGATGTGACAAGAACAATTCTGAGGAACGTTTCACTTCTCTTTTAAAAATTCTTTTAAAAGTTTAATACGTTCTTAAGTGTTCACATTTGTATAACAGAAAAACTTTGTAATAGAGCATATTAGTCTTAAAATGACTTAGATTTGGCTAAAGCTGTTGAAAGGAATTTTGTAGCATCCTACACTCCGGATTCCATAACTCAGTTTAATCTTCAGACACCCACGTGTGCCAGGGTCAGTCAAACAGAAAATGCTATCAAAAATTGAATTTCCTGTTTAAAACGAGCACTCCCTTTGATGCTGTTTATTAAAAGCTATTTATGTCCCACACAAACAGCTATATTTGGCATTTACTGAAACTATCAGTAAACTCCAAAACCATTCTGATTTAGAAAACGTCAACATTTTTGGTATGCGAAAGTTCCAAGCAGTTTGACCTTGCAATGTGAATGGTCGTATACCACAGCAGCGGCTTCCAGGAGAGCTGCTGAGCAGATGTCATGTTTCCTAACAGAACAGGGTGTAACATTCTTTTGCTCACCATGTTTACTTAATGGCACACTCTCGGGCATGCAGTCTGCTGAAAACTTCAACCATTATTGTTCACTGCTGTGCACCCTTTGCTACACAGTTAAAAAGTTTCTCTAACCTATTTTAATCTCTTACGAACAAATAGAAACACACTATTTTATAGCATTTGGGTCAAATTAATTTTATTTTGCTCCATGATGAATTGCCACCAGTGCAACATCCTATTCACTATACATTTCAAAAAAAAAAAATCACATATTAAACAAAATTTCAGTTGTTTGAACATGAAATGATTGAAAGTCTTTATGAACCTCATACATACAATACGTGGCTAGCTGAAATTGTCTATCACATAGCACTTAGATATAAAAAGCCTCATGCTCGTTTGTTAAATGCGAAGGCTGCCAGACAATCATTTAGCTGGAGAATATATTATACGAGAGGCTTTTCAGACGACGCACTGTGCTGTCCACAGTGCAAGATGGTGGAGGACTGAAACATGCAGCCTTACATCTTACTTGGTAAAGCAGACTTAGCCTTCATGCCTGGACTGAACTCCACAGCTGCTGTGTTTCAACCAATAGTAATTTAGACTTGGTGAGACAATTTTTTTTTTTTTTTTTTGTACGAAAACAGAACTCAATTACCTTTGGTAAATTGTATACTCATCTTACATGTTTAAAACTGTGTTTCCAACTCAAAAGAATTAATACTTTCTGCTCACAGCAGCTCCTGATAAAAATATTTATTATAACAAAGTTAGCTGGAAGATCCTGAATTCCTTGGTCAAAAGTTGAGATCTTAAATTGGCATTATTTAATATGTTTTTTTACAATGTCAAGACAAAATTTTTATGTTTAATGTTACTTAAAATAATTATAATGTCCCATTTATGATTTGCACAGATTTCTAATTTTATTGGTTAATAGCTGTCCAGTCTCAGTCACGCCAGATTCACTGAGCTCAAGCCACAATAAAAATGATAGTAAGCAGAAAAAGGTTTCTAGCAGCAGAGGGCACTGTTTTTTTGCAAGAAACAAAAAGTCTATGATCTTTCCCATGTGCTTAAATAACTCTTGCAAGGAAGGTAACATTCTTTGAATAACTTAACTATTTTGCTGCACCACTTACTGCTTTCAGCAACAAAACCTTTTAAATTATTTCTTATGACAATAACTAGATTCATGATCACTAGAGATTATGCAATAACTGGTTAAAATTCAAGCCACATCTTGCAGGTCCAGCCTGTCAAGATCATGCCAATACTAGATTTTGGTCGGTACAATTCTAGATAGCATAATTTTTAGTTGGATATTGTGACTATAGTAATGAAATACATTTGGAACTACATTCTGCATATGACTCAATGTGAGAAAAATATGTGTCTGTATTTAAATCAGATATTTTTCTACCTAAAATTTAAAGTAGGTAGGTATAATAATTAGCGCTATAAATATGAAACAACCACCTTTAGGTAGATTAGTGTATTTTAGAGAGGCAAGGAAACCCTCATTTTAACACACCATTTAGTATGCATAACAAATGCGCAGGTTGTAAAGTTTTATTTAAAAAAATATCTATCATTAAGTTGTGTGTGCCAAGAAATCTGACATTGGGACCACAAGTATTTTAAGAAAAATGTAATCCTTCACATGGAATTTGACAAAAATCTTGATAAATTATCAAAATAAAAATATATAGCACATTAGTTAGGGTCAATATTACAGTGCATATTTTTGCCAGCTAGATTAGATTTTTATGATTGGTATTTCTGAATACCTCAACTCATATACACTGCAAAAAAAAAAAGTGCTTAAATTCTACACTATTTTTATAATGTTCTGATTTGTGTAGCATTTAAAAACACCTATTGGAGTAACCATAATGTATACTCCACTTAAGTTCATGCAGAATGAAAATGCTCCCCAAATCCCTCAAACTCAAATAACTTTTCTGTTTCAGAATAATACCAAACATATTTTTTAAAATTTTTGCCAAAAAGAGCCTGCCGCGTTTGCTACAGCATAAAAATAACCTCAGTCAAGAACAGGTATGTAAGGGTTCCGATTCCAGCCTGCAAATACCACTGCAGTACCAATAACGGGCAATACTGCTGTAACAGGTGTGTTACTGATTTTCCCCACTAGAATCTCTGTAGTGATTTTATTATGTAGAGCATATTGCTAAAATTTGAGAAACCGCATCAGTGTAGTGATGTCTAGAGAACTGTGCAATGTATCAGCTTCAACATTCATATGTAGCATTGTATTCAAAATAAAGGGGCTAAAGAAACTAAGGTTTGCATCACTTAAAAAAGAATGTAGTGCTATACTAGATTTTTATAAGAAAATTTAGGTACAGAAAAAGTAGGGTATGAAAATAGTGTTTTCCTTCTGGCATTATAACTAAATTACATTAAGGTTTTTGTCAGTCTCACACATAAACTCCCTTGTTGATGGAATGAATAGTATTCACAAACCAAGTGAGCATCCTGGTGTAAACTTGCACACAATAACAGGGAGTAGCTTTGTAGAGGATTATGACAAACCTTTACAGATTAAATGAGGTATTGCACAGATTAATTAAAAAAAAAAGCAAAAAAGGCAACAAAAATATACAGCAAATTGGTAGAACATTTACATGATAATTTTACAGAATCCATAGATGGAAAGTAGTGTTTAGTATTTCACCTTAAAAAATATATATATAATATATCGATCAGTCTTCCCATTCATCATCATCCTCAAAATCTTCTTCGTCATCTTCATCTTCATCTTCATCTAAAAGAAAATCAAGATATACAACTAAAACATATGCATAAATGAAATGACATTACTTAATTCTTGAGTGATTTCTACAATTATTTAACTCCTCAAACATAAGCCATTTGATTCCTGCAGGAATCCAGTTACTAAAATAATTTAAAACACATCCAATGAAATACAATTAGAAAGTGTGATAGTAAATTGAAGATTAAAACAGGAGTTATATGTTTTGGGCTCTGGTTCTTTAGTATCTAGGTAATACATTGCAACCTGTATGTTTCTTAATGTATAAAATTACCTTTGGGTCGCCCTTTTTGAATTGTAAACTCTCTTATCATAAAGTCAACTGCCTCCTGTACTCTTCACATGGATTCTCAAACTCAAAACTTGTAAAGTTTATCTTCCCGAACCTTCTCTTTCTCCATCCTAGTCTGCTCCATCTCAGTAAATGGTGTCACCATCCTCCCACGTGAAATTATTACTGCTTCCTCCTTTTTCACCTTCCAATCATCAACTCTCTCCTTTTCACCTCTTCCACTGCTGCTCCTCATATCATCATCATGTCTCACTTGGACTACTGCAACTCTATAGTCTATTTGCCTCAGAGGAAATAGAATGATATTATTTAAATTCAAAGTTTTAACAATATCATGTTGCTACCTTTCTCAAAAATCCTCCTGTGGTTGACCACTGCTATCTGAGTAAAATTTGATGTTCCCTCACTCTACAAGACCCTACTTGACTCACCCAGTTATTGTCTCTCCCCTTCCCCAAGCTTTTTCTCCTTCAACTCATTATTTCTAGCAAGATGGCCTCCTTTCTGTCCCTCACACTTACCAAGCTGATTCTTACTCCAGAGCTTCTGCAATAGCTATTTCTCCTGTCTGGCTGCATCCTTTCAACATTTAGGACCCATTCAAAAACCACCTCCTCAAAAAGGACTTTCCTGACCATTCTATGTAAAGTGTAGCCCTTTCTCACAATCAGTAACTATCCCATTTAAAAATTTTTCTTATACTACTCACAACTACTTGAAATTCTTGTATTTTATTTATATTTTTATAGTCATCACACTAAAATCTAACAGCAGGGACCTTGTCTGTCTTATTTATCATTTATTTGTCATTGTATCCTCAACACCAGAACTGTAAGTTGTTCAATAAGTGCTTGAGTGAATATTTATATGTCATAAAACTCTATAAGTACACTTCCATACTATATTAATTTTTCTTTTTTTGAGTTGGAGTCTCACTCAGTCGCCCAGACTGGAGTGCAGTGGCTGCTCCCGGCCACCGCAGCCTCGACCTGCCGGCTCCGGTGATCCATCCGCCTCAGCCTTCCAAGTAGCCGGAATTACAGGAATGTACTATCCGCCCGGCTGATTTTTTGATTTATTGTAGAGATGAGGTCTCGCTGCCCAGGAGGGTCTCGAACCTGCGGGCTCAGGCAATCCACTCACCTCAGCCTCCCAAAGGCGCGGGATTTCAGGCTGAGCCACCAAGCCCGGCTTATATTAATTTTTCATGTTACTAACATCTTAAGTATACCATGGGTGCCAAAAAATGTATACACATTTTAAGCGATGTTATCTATGCATTACTTTTTGAAGTTGAATTGTATTATGGTGACAATGTATAGTATGACACTCGCTCAAAAGACGGCATTAATCAAATAAATGCTAGTGTCACCATGAGACCAGCAGGACAGTAAAAGAAAATGGCAAAACATGGTTGCAGTTCGAGGAGAGCAAGACCATTTGGATGTGGTATTTGAAATTAGAGAATGTTGTGGAAGTACGACAATAGAGGTGTAAGTATGCAACAGAACCTCCAACATGCCTAACAACTGCATGCATTCGTGTAAGTGTGAGACACAAGGTATTGCATGTGATAGGTACAACGGAAGATCTGGGAGGCCTTGAACAGCAACAAGTCCTGAAGTAGCTCGCTGTAATCATAAGTGTCTAGACGCTAATGGGAACCATTCTGAGTACCTCTTGTATCTGCAGAAGTCAGACGTGACTTGCTATCATCTTCTGCTATCAGCACATACTGAGTATTACAATTTTAATAGTTTTTTCCCTTCTTAAAACGTGTCTATGGTTTTGGCACACTCTGTATATACCTCATAAAACCCCTGAAGGCCAAGTTTGTGAAGTGAGACATTAGCTAAGTAACTACGCTTGAAAATGACAAAGAGCCAGTAAGACGGAGTATGTGACGTATGTGTGGGCTACCTGTAAAGAATACACAACAATCTTTTTCTTCTATTTTTTCTTCATAAAAAATTGATTGTTTTCATGAAGGTTTCTATGAATAAGTACTTGAATTCTAGTATTAAGACTTGAAAATTAACAAAAGACAGAGAGGTACAAAGATATCTTCCCTTGACCCCAAACTAACTTACTGCTTTTATAACATTAACCATTATTTTTTATTTATTGAAGTATGATGGTCAGCCCCAAACTGTTACAGAACTGATATGGGAAGGAGTTCAATTGACTTCATGTTAATTTCTGTGTTTACCTTTTCAGCAAGGAAAATAATTTACTCAACACTTTTGCTAGTCATATTTCACAAAACTTACCTGGATGAAAAGTATCAAATATACCCCACTACTCTGGCATTTAGAGTAACAAAAGACAGAAATTTACCAGCATTCATGGCAAAGAGGAGGAAGTAGCTAATAGTTCTATCATGAGGTTCTACCACAGGAATGACAGTTTAAAAAAATGGGCCAGAAATAAGCAAAAAAGCATGCTACATAGTCGTTACATCAGTTTTTTAAATATATTTTTTTAAAAAAATGGCTGGGCATGGTGGCTCAAGCCTATAATCCCAGCACTTTGGGAGGCTGAAGCAAGAGGATTGCCTGAGCCTGCAGGTTCGAGACCAGTCTGGGTAACAGTGAGACCTCATCTCTAGAACAAATCAAAAATTAGCTGGGCATGGTAGCTCATGCCTGTAGTTCCAGCTACCTGGAAAGCTGAGGCGGAAGGATCAGTGGAGCCCAGCAGGTCGACACTGGAGTGGCTGTGAGTGTGCCACTGCACTCCTGCTGGGTGACAAAGTGAGACTCCAACTCAAAACAAATAAACAAAACAATACAAAAAAACCTATTTACTATGAGGAATATTTAGCAGAACTCACAGACATGAGAATAAAACAAATGCTTTCTCATGATCACGTATTTCAGAGCAGCCTTACATTTTCCTCATCTGAGCAGAATGAGGTCCTTTCCTTAACCTTTTAATATTAGCAGCCACCAAGACTATTCTTGAGCATTTTCCATATCTGAAGTTACCTTTTTTTTATTCAGCCTGAACTTCATAGTGGTTAGTCATCTGAGTTTACTCTGAAAAGTCTTAATTCTAAGAATTATTAATTCTTGCCATCTGGGGTCAGTTCAGTAATGTCCTCCTTTGTCCTAGTTTCTGTATTCACTCAGTGATTGATGAATAAGTCATTTTTCCTGCCTTCAAGTGTCATGAGTGGTGTGGAGACAGATGTATAAATGGATAAACGACAAACGAAGACTTACTATTGACATCAAATTACTGTAGCATGTTCTCTGACACCTACCCAGGTGGAAAAGCTGGGCTGATAAAGTGATCTTCTATGAACAACTATCAACTTAAGTAATCACATTCTTATAACAAATGTCAATACCAACTGCTATATCTTGAAATAATAGTTCAGCTAATTTTTTAGCATGAAACGGGTCACAAAATTAAGAGGAAAATGTGACCACCTGCTGATGAAAATAATGTAAACTAGCAGATGAATGTTTTCTAAATAAGCATTCAGAGAAGTAAAAAGCCTAAGAAAACAAAGGAAGACCCATTTAATGACTGTCTTTAAAGAAAAGGTGTCAAAAACACAACATATCCTTTAGCTATCAATTCCAGCGATTAGCAGGAACCTGTCAACAATAAGCCATAAAGGAAACAGAACAGGTGGTCCCAACACCCAGTCTCTATTTCCACTCTTCTACTCTCTATTGAATGGACCTTGCTCCCATCGCTAGATCTAAAACTCAAATTGCCCTGCCCTCACCTTTGAACAGAAGCACATGACCCAGATGATCAACCTCTTCTTCTCTCTCAAACATTTTCTTCCTCTGGCTTCCAGATACTATCCTCCAGCCCTCGTACCTTGTTAGACCTTCACTTCTCTCTCCATATTCACTTCTTTGCTCATTTCATACACTTCCATAACTTTAAATACCATGTGTCTTTATTTTATTGGCATGCAAACATGTATTAAATACAGTTTAGATCTCTCCTGTGAATTCCAGACTCAAAACCAAATGCCTACTCAACTTCTATATTTGAATTTTTAATAGGTAACTCAAGTTTAATATGTATAAAACCAAACTCCTCATCTTTCCTCTCAAACTTGTTCTTTCTAAATCTTTCTCTTTTCTGTCAAGAATACTCTGCCAATTCAGTTGTTCAGATCAAAAACCTTTTGTAACTTGGTTACCACTTCTCACTGGTGCTATAAACCTGGTTCAGCCTCCATCCCCTTGCTTGGATCACCACTGCCCCTCTGCTAAAAACTCGCCAATGACTTCCCATCACTCTCAGAAGGAAAGCACCTGGCTTGCTGCCATCTCCATCCTCCACTTCCTCTTGTGCTTCATTCCTTACTACTTTTCCCCTCCGTCTCTCCCTCCAGTCACACAGATCACCTCACTGCCTCCTCACTGTTTCTCAACCTTCTCAACCACAAAGACTATGCATCTGCTGTTCTTTCCATCTGATACACTGTCCCCAGTTTTCTACGTGGTTCACTTCCTGAACTACTGGTCTTTTCTCAAATGTCACCTCAGCTAGGCCTCATCATTCCATTTCAAGATGAGCCTCCCACCCATAGTCTATAACTCTTTTTTTTTTTTGAGTTGGAGTCTTATTCTTGTTGCCCAGGTTGGAGTGCAGTGGCACGCTCATAGCCATCACAGCCTCGACCTGATGGGCTCAGGCGATCCTTCCCCCTCAGCCTTCCAAGTTGCTGGAACTACAGGAGCATGCAACCAGGCCTGGAGAGTTTTTTGTGTGTGTGATTTATTGTAAAGACGAGGCCTCACCCAGTTGCCCAGGCTGGTCTCGAACTCCTGGGCTCAGGCAATCCTCTTGCCGCGGCCTCCCAAAGTGTTGGGATTACAGAGTCTGTAATTCTTTATCTTCCTTTTCTGCTGAACTCTTGTCCTCAGTACATATCACCATTTAATGCACTGTATGTTTTTCTAATTTACTTTGTTCATTGCTTGTCTCTGTCTCTCATTAGACAGAATGCATGCTCCATAAAGCAGGGATTTTTGCAAAAATTTTATTATCATTCTGCAATAAATATTTATGGTATGAATTAGGCTACTTTATCTTTTTAATGCAGCATAGGAACAAATATGCCTATTTAATTAAGAAAAACAAATATCATTCCAGGATTTTAGACATTCACATCCTTACAGAGAAAAAAAGAAAAGAATAACATTTATTGAGCACATACCATGTGCTAGGCAATCTGCTGGTTAGTTTCTTACTATTTTACTTAATTCTCACATCAATCATGCAATTTCTCTCTCTATGTAACAAATAAGAAACTGAGGTTCATAGAGATCTACTAAGAACAAAGATCTGATTCTAGTACATCATGCTGGAGAAGCTCTTTAGTTAATCTCAACCACTCTAATCAGCAAAATCATATTCTTGTCCTTTTTTAGAAGCAATATTCATTTACATGGCAATATGCATATGTTTAATAATAACCTTAGAATAGCTCCTGGTTCATTCAAATAAATCTATTAGAAAATGACAATAAAGGTTTGCAAAACAGTGAAATTACCTAAATTCTCAGTCTTATTCTCACAGATCAGGGAAATCTGAATTTCTTATGCATGAGAATGTCAGAGGAATGGGATCCAAAAATCTCAAGCCTGGTTTAGAAGTTGTTTGCTAGTGCGTCTATTAGTATTTCCTGATGTAAGAAACAAAACTGCCCTATTCCAAAGTTATTCTTTCAACTTATGATTATGGTTGTGGTGTCCTGACTTCCATTAAGTTATAGATAAATTAGTTACAGAGGCAAAACTTTAAAAAATATATCCTAGAACCCATAGTAATACATTATTCAACTGGTAGGGAGAAAGCTAGTGAAAGCTAGTGAAGACAGTCATAAAAAAATAATAACAAAACTTTAAACATTCAAATTTATTCAACAAATCAATACACACACAGACTGGAAAAGTACCTGAAGAATGAATGGCTTTGCTCCTTTTCTGCATCACCTCCATTAGTGCACCCACAATTCCTGAAGTGGGTGCAGGGGTCGGTGGTGTGGACTCTTGGCCATCAGACACCTCAAAAAAGAAAGGTAGCAAAACTAAATAATAAGTCCTTAGTCAAGAGTTTTGTCTCCAGAAAATGTTACTTTTTTAGAATCACTTCTTATCTTAAAAGAAGAAAAGAAAACAAAGTAGTAAGCCGAGCACAGGATTAACTAAATTAAGAAACAAAGTGCTGCCTTAAAAGAATTATTCAAGAAATATTTCCTCTCTGTCTTAATGCATAAGCCATCAATACATTTCCAAATTGATGCTTATATTTAGATAACATTTAAACCCTTTCCTGAATAATATTTGCCCTTGCAGTTAGCTGGGTTACTTCTGTTCACTCCAGCACATAAAGTCTTACAATACATGATCAACATTAAGGGGACCTCATTTTATAAATAGAGGGTAATACTTAGATTCCAGAGTTGCTATGTAGGAAGAACACTTAAGATATCAAAGAGCAACTATGGACACTTAACGTTTACCTAAAAATTTTCAGCTTCATCATTTTATGTTATACTTTCAAAATAAACCTCCCTTCTCATAGTACATAACTTCTCTTTAAAGATATCAGTTGAGAAGCTTTCAAACTATACTTCAAAAGACAACTACCTATCCTTAACTGAAGTGCTTCCACCTGTTCCAAACTGCATCCAGGAAAAAGAAAAGAATCAAAGATTTTTATTAAGATTGAATTTCTCAGAAGGACAGTCCATATAGAATTATCCCTGCTTGCAGCTTTGATCAAAACGAACACTTTTACATATTCATTGTACTAATTTTGTCTCCGGACTTACATTATCCATGTGAAGGTATGATTAAAGATGACACAGCCTAATTGAACTAAATAATTACTTAGGCTTTAAAATATATACATATTTATTTAAAATTCTTAATCATTTCCCAAAGAAAGAATAATTTTATTATGACATACTGCTCATTCTGGACTAAAAACTTTTTAAAAGACTATATATTAACTATTACCTATACTGAAATATCACAAAAGAAAATAGTTTCAGAGCTTTGTATTTCTGCATGAGGCTCCCTGAGAAGTATGACAACATTTAGACAACCTCAAGCAATCTGATAATACAAAGCAGAAAGCACAAAGCAGAAGCGCAACACAGACATCATGCACATTTTCTGAAATACTCACTTGGACAAGGTGCTACTGAGGAATTCAAAGGTGCTACATGGAATTCAAAATACATGTGATCACCTATACACCTCCGCTAGCTCTTTAAAGTCAATCTGTGATTTTATATTAGTCATACTCATCACAGAATAAAGTGATGATTTATGCAAACATTTTAAAGAAACACAGCTAGAGAAATTTCAAGCACAGAATGGTTATTAAAAAAATAAAGTAAAATTACTGACTCAGTACACATGTATAACATGCCAATGATTTACTGATTATGAACTCTATTATGATTACATTAAAGGCAATCAAAAGGAAAGTGATTATTTAGAATAAAAATGGCCTGCTATCCCACACTTAGAATGAAAACTTCTTTTGAGATAAATCTAGTGGTCGGTTGACGTGTTATTGTTTTTGGAAGGAGAAGGGTGGGATGGGAGAAAGTGATGAAAGCTGTAAATAGAAAATCTGACTCATCAACTTCTTAAGAGGATACAACTTTACTCATTAAAAATAAAAACCACCTTTTGATAACTACATGAGAGAAACAAAAGTTGGTGTGAAAAGGAAATAAAAAAAGGAAAATTTAAAAAAAGGTAGGTTAGCAGTGGGATATGGGAATGAGAGTGACATAGGACTGGTAGGGATTTCAAGGTGGAAGGCAAAGTCAATGACCCTGTTATTCACTTGGGCTACAGTCATTCTGACATTAATCACACCCACTGACTATTCCTTTAAGTTCTTCAACTGCTCCTGAGAAATCTTCAGTCTGAACTAAAAGGGAGAAGGGAGCAGAGATGATGATCTCAGTGTCACCCTGAATACATACAAAGAAAGAGCTAGATATACTTTAAAGGTCAGAGGCCTCTTACATCTATGCTATGCTAATGTTTAAATGTTTTCATTCAATGAGATAGCGTTTCCAATCCAACACTCCCTGGGCCAAAGCTTCTGAGATCCAGAAATTAACCTTAAATTTCCTATGCTGCAAAATAATTTTCAACTAAAATATCTGTCATATCCATGCACTTCATAGAAGAAACCACTATCCACTACCTGCCTCAAGTCCTGGCGAGCACGTTATGTATAAAGGCTTAGAAGAAAGCATGTAAATGTCAGCCAGCCTCCACCCTAGAAGTCAACAGCCTGGAGTCCGGAGAAATTTAGCCCTGTCCTGACTCTCTCTCCCCATTTTTTTTTTAATAACCTAAAGCTAAGAACGGTTTTTACATTTTTAAGTGGTTGAAAGAAAATCAAAACATTATTTCTAACAAGTGAAAATTACATGAAATTGAAATTGCAGTGTCCAAAAATAAAGTTTTATAGAATACAATGTGCCCATTCACTTATGTATTGTCTGACTGCTTCCAGCAGAGTTGAGTGGTCATGAAAAGAGATCACAGGGTCTGTAAGCCTAAAATTTTCCTATTTGATTCCTTACAGAAAAAAGTTTGCTGATCTCTAGAAGATCAAATGATCTAGAAGATCAATGATTACCTCATTCAATTAAGATGATTATCTGCCTTTACTGTCACAAATTCCAATAGAATGCTTTCAATTCTGTTATCAGTATCTATCTACAAATCTACACTTTAGACTATGTAAACTTTAGAATAGGATTTAGTTTTCATAAAGTTGCTAGTTTGAATTTACCAAGGTGACAGCAATTTGTTTCAAGTAGGACTATTTTTAATTTCCCATAGTTCAATAAGAATTTTTCTTTAAATTACCTTTTATTTAAAAGTAAAGCCTAGAATAATAGTTTGCAAACATGCTGTAAGATTCCATTTATAAGAAGTTCTAGAATGGGCAAAACTAACCCATGATAATACATCAGTGATGGCTTTTGGAAAACTGAGAAGAAGCATGAGGGAAACTTCTTGGGTGACAGAAATGTTCTACACCTGGATACATAAGTATGAGTTATACAGCTACAGAGATTTATCAAATGGAACTAAAAATGTGCATACGTTATTGTATGTATATTTTTATTAAATCATAGGATAAAAAACTAAATAATAAGAGACAAAAGCAAAATAATAAACTTTTCAAAAATGTCTTATAATAAACTTTAAAATTCCATTATGATAGATGATCTGAAATGAAAACAATAGATTACTTACAGATTTTAGTTGAATACCCTGTCGTATCTGGTCTAAAAGTGCATCCCGTCCAGAGCAGGACACTGGTCGACTGTTCTGTTCCACTTTTTTTAGCTGAGCACCCTCTCTAATTTGATCCAAAAGAGCTGCTTTGTTTCCTGCAGGAATTGGAACTTGATGGTCCCCATCAGAAGGGAGGCCAGGGGGAGGTGGGGGCCCAGGTGGTGGCGGAGGTGGAGGCGGTGGGGGTGGTGCCACTGACCCTGTCGACAGGGGTGGAGGTGGTGGTGGAGGCCCTGCAGGTGCTGAGGAGGGTAGGGCTGGAGGTGGAGGAGGGTACATCCTGTTAGGCGGCGGTGGGGGGACTCCTACACCGGGCCTAGAAGGAGGCGGGGGTGGAGGTGCAGCTGTGGGAGCTCTTGAAGGCGGTGGGGGAGGAGCGCCTCTCCCCCTGGCAGGAGGAGGGGGAGGGCCTGAGCTGTGTGGAGGAGGTGGGGGAGGAGGCGGCCCTCCCCTTGATGGTGGTGGAGGTGGTGGTGCTGAAATGAAAACAGAAAAAAAGCAGCATGCTTCTTTCCCCACCACAAACATCACATTGAAAAGCGATTTATATTAACATGTATAAAAAAATAATAGCAAGAAAAGAGGGCCCCACCTTTGCATTTTATCTTACAAATGTAATCTGAGCACAGATGATATCGTACAGTTTTATTAAGGAATTCTCAACTTGAACATCACCTTCCTATTGTTTCTAGAAAAATATGAGCTGAAACACTGAGGATTTAGTAACAGTTCTGAAGGTAAAGGGAGTAAACACTTTTTTACTTTATATTGTAATAACAAAAATATAACAATAATATTAAACATTTTGGTTAATAAGCATTATTCTCCATTTTAACAAAAATTAATCACTATTTTCCCTCTTTAAATAAACAAGTACACTTAGTTTTTTTTTTTTTAAATAAAATCAAATCACATTCAGAATTATATATTAGTGTGGTATAACCTACTGGAATTTATTCACATTAATCTGAGCAAAAACCTAAATATAATTTTCTTTTGAAATGGAAGACTTTGTCATCTAATTTACATTTATGCTTTTGTTTTACAGCATAATACCCTATATTTCTTTTTTTTTTGAGTTGGAGTCTCACTCAGTTGCCCAGACTGGAGTGCAGTGGTCGCTCCCGGCCACAGCAGCCTTGACCTGCTGGGCTCCGGCGATCCTTCTGCCTCAGCCTTCCGAGTAGCCGGAATTACAGGCATGCGCTACCACGCCCGGCTGATTTTTTTATTTATTGTAGAGATGAGGTCTTGCTGCCCAGGCGGGTCTCGAACCCGCGGGCTCAGGCAATTCACTCACCTCAGTCTCCCAAAGCGCGGGATTATAGGCAGAGCCACCGAGCCCGGCTATGCCCTATATTTCTAAAAGATATCCTGCAATTCTATAGTGGCATTATGGGAAGCTGGTTGTGCAACTGAAATGCTCAGTTACTTATTCAAGAGATATGAATTGATTATTAACAAATTAACTGAGAATTTCTATAAACTGCAAAATTAAAATTATTAATAAAATTATAATTATTCTGGTAGTAAAGATATTTGCATTCTTATTCTACTTATGTGGAAATATAAAGCATGAAAACAAATTCAAAGTACAGCAACATTATACTGGGGAATATGACTAAAACCTTAAAGTATTAAAATGTATCCTTATTACATGCTTTTACCAACAGCTGTACATAAGTTTGCATAACAAGATACTTCATTATTTCTCCACTGGATGAAACATGCAGAAAGACCAATGGATATTGTCTCCTGGCATACAAATTTTTCAAGCTGAAAATAATATATGAGGGGGGAACCCCCCAAAACCTGGAATTATCTTTTAAAGGGTGGGCCCTTTGTAGTATATAGGCTTCCTTTGCTAGGTAAGTGTTCTAGGAACCCATCAGCAACAATGTAACAGCTCGTGTTGTTGTGAGGAGCTGCCTTTGGCTTCAATAAAATTTTTTTGGAGATTCTTTCAATGCATTTTCCATCTCACGATGGGCGACTTACAAGCACACCTGCCCATATAGCACTGCATGTTCAACAGTTTTTGACCAAAAATGGCATGACCCCCGTGCCTGTTGCCCCAGCCTCACTACTCACCCTGTCTCGCCCCAGTGATGTTTTTTGTTCCCTGATTTTAAAAAGTCCTCAAAGGGAAATGTTTTGCCAATATGAAAGAGGTGAAAACAAAAAATGGCAAAAGCACTAAAAAACATCAACATCAACAAGTTCAAAAACTGTTCCCAGCAGTGGAAAAAGCATCTTGATAGGTGTACTGCATCAAACAAAGAGTACTTTGAAGGTGACTGAAGTTTAAACATGTAAAAATACGTAACTTTTTATAATTAAATTCTGTTGTTTTGGGGGTCTTCCCTCATATAACTGAAAGCAGAATTCATATCCTACTTGGATACAGGCCATCACAGTCAGATGCACATATGACTTACAGGGTATAGTGGAGGTCTGGGTGTTGCAGCGAAGGTCCATCTACTTTTATAACTGGACCCAAGGCAAGGAGACTTAAAACTAAAAGCACTGTCGTTTTCTAACATATTTTGCAATCAAAGAGTAAAAAAGAGAGGATATGATATATATGTATTATGTATATTCCCTAAATAGACAGTGCAGCAAACCCTTCAAGCATATACAAAATTTCATTTTAATCAGTTTTAGTTTTATATTTCAAACAGCAATGATATTTGTCTAGACTGTCATTTTTATGATTTGGTCATCTGTTATTCAAAAGGAAAAAACCCAGCTATTCTATTATGTAAGGTTATTAAATAACAATCATTTCTCATGATTTCACAAAAAAATTTAGATTCATAATCTTTTATATAACACGTTATACACAATGATTAAAGTTTTTTTAACTTGCAATAAGTACATTTACTAAAATAATTTGGGATCCTGCTCACACTCTTGCAAACAGACACTAAATTTTTGCTCAAGGAAAGAGCCTTGATTTATAGTGAATAATGTATCAGCTGCATTCAATTTGAGCATAGAACAAGTCCAACATTTCTATTATCTTGAAAAGTGATATTTTCTTAAAGAAAACATCTAGTATCAACTTTCAATTTTTATGAAAGTCTGTCTTATGTCTACATTAAAAGGAAAGTATGCAAAAGACATGCTATATCCCAAGGTAAAAATGTGAAAGATTTAAAACAGGAGAGAAAAGGACAGATGGTACCATGTTCATTAGGCTTACGTGCACAAAAATGTCTGCTACACAGACTCCACACACAACTATAAGAAACTCTGACAGTCTCCAGATTTTCCAAACTCTAAAGTGTCACCACAAACATCAAAATCAGAATGACAATAGTATTTTTTTAGATAAAAAAAATAAAGTGAAAAGCATAAAACAAAAGCTAAAACAAATAAAAAATGCTCTTATTGTAAAAACTTAGTTAAAATGAAGAAAGACTGGTGCTTATAGAAAAAACTCTTGTCTTGATGGCACTCTATAAGGGAAGGCTGATATACTTTAAAATAATTAAGTATTATTTCACGTCAATATTTGTAGATAACGCTCTAGATATTTATAGGAATTATAAGTAGAAACTATAAAATAACTTATACTTAAAGAAATGTATATTATAAAATTCAAGAGACATTAAAGCACTGCTTTCATGTATTCTCATCAAGATAAAACAAATAGAAAATTTTATTTAGCACAAATTTAAATTTATGGAAGTATTGACAACTCTGAGTAGGTATTTGTGTGTTTATTTATGTTGAGCTCCCCTTCTTTGACGCAAATTAATGTAAAATGTAAATTTATTTTATACAGGTTACTAAAAAATGTCATGTGAAAAGCAATCACTAAACATGGCAAGTACAATTAGTAATGTGGGCAAGAAGTGTTCTTTTAAAAATCCACAGAATTTTAATGAAATTATCTCAATCACAGACAAAGTATAAGCTCTGACGCATACAGACTTTAATTTTAGCATCTGTGTGCCCAAAACATTAGTTTGAATGCAGGGCAGTAAGTCTCAGTGGAAGTTAGACTTGGAAGCAGGATATATGAGCTCTAGCTCCTTTGAAAATCAACACATCAAACATGCATAATTTAGAGCACTGGGTCAAATAATGTCCCACATACATACCACTCCATTGTGGTGAACCTACAGAAGAGATTATTACGAGTTAATGGGCTTTAAACAACTGCACACACAAGTATGTTGTAAATCACAAGTCTATTGCTTTTTTATAAAGCTGATTACACAATTACATAAAGTATCAAGAGATTTAATTCAGTAGATTTTACAAAGCATATTTGAAGACGACTTCATTAAATTCTCCCTAATTTGTTTTTTAAAGTCTGAATATTTACATTATGTAAATATTCTCTGCCTAGAAATAAATTGTTAATTTGCCTTTTTACTCTTCCTTAAAAAAATGTTTTATTTTTGATTATTGATGATTATTTTTTGGTGTCTAAAAGGTTTCATACGATGTTTTTTTCAGACTTTATACTTTGTTCCCAAAGCATGTTTTTAAATGCATGTGTTTTTTTTTTCTTTTCTTTTCTGTTTTAGGTAGGTTCACTTAAGGAAAGACCTTGCCTAATTTAGCATCTTAAAAGTAAGTAAAATAAAAAGCAGTAATAATAAAGTTTACAAAACAAGCCAAATCAAGTTAAGATGATCAACTCAAGAGTTATAGGTATTTAGGCAACCTGACAGCAGTACAGGTGGTCCAATAAGGTCAAGAGTAATTTATAAACTTATAAATTCAGAGAGCTGAGAGGCCCTGATATTATCTGGTAGTATAACATGTAGGTAGATGGTAAAAGTGGAGAAAAAGAATGTCAAGGAACACAGTAGAGCTCTTAAGCCCTTCTATCCTCTGATGCTAACAGTAACTATATGGAAGCATTTTTAAAAACAATAGTGCTGTGCCCAAGATGTACTTTAAACAAACAAAAAAAACCCCATAGAATTTGGAATTGTAATTTATTTGTAAGATAAATAAGCCTCATGCTAGTTCAGTGGAACTAGCCACAAGTAAGCCAAATATCTAATTTAAAGTGACTGTTAAATTCTTAGAATGTAATAAGTAGCAATAATAATAATAAATAACAGGAATGCATTACCTGAAGCTTTTGCATTGCTACACTATTATGAGTTACATAAAAACTGGGAAGAAGAAAAGAAAACAGCCTTGAATAAGGTGGCAAAGAGATGACTGTCATATTGGGAAACGTAGTTATTTCATGTGCAAGTAAATTGTTTTACACAACGAAAACACAAGGTGCTTCAAAGGAAACATCAGATCTTAAAAGGCTACAAATTTACACTCAGGTACCAAAAGAAAATGTTATGCTTTATATAAGAAAGGTAGTTTGTATTTCAAAATTAATATATTTACATTATTTGTATTCTGAAAACGTTTACATTACTGATTAGAGAATGATTATATTTAAATTACTACTTCTGAATTATTATTAAGGTAACTTTAGTGGCAGTTTCTAGGATGAATTAAGTAAAACATTTAGCTAACTATAATTTTTTTATTCTAAAATAGAACAGCTGGAAGTTTTGGCATGAATTTTCATGAATTTAATATAAGACCTTTAAAATAATAAACAAAACTGTGTCAATTTGTTTTAGTAATGCCAAAATAATGTAAGACATAGTATGATGGGTCAGATTAGTTGTCCATAAATTCAAACAGTCTGCTCAAGGAGAGGTTCACATGAACAAATGTAGTTGTCTTCCATCATTCTGACTTCAAAAGATTCAAAAGAAAAAAACAGACTGCATAAATATAAACAAAAGTTACCTTGCCTTCGTAGTTCATTTTTAACAGCTTCAACACCTCCTGTTTTTTCAATAAAGTCATATATAACTTTTGATGTTTCTCTGTCTTTAAGTTGTGCCTCTGAGATTCCACACATATCAAAAAGATTCTTCAATTCTGGATCCAAATTATTCAGCTACAACAGATAAAACAACTGCTAACTATAAAAATCTATCCAATTTTTTAAAAAAATAAACATGATACAATTTAGTTCTCATCCATGTCATGAAATTATTTTATGTTTACAGACTTTTCACATGGTTCCATTATTAATATGCTAATTAAACATGCTTATATAAACACTAAATAGGTAAGAAAAAAATAATAATTTTCTACTTTATTGTATTTCTTTGTTGTTCTCTGACTTCAAAAAGGGGGCATCTCATTTAGATTTCTGAAAACCTAGTCACGATTCAGACATTTATTCCACCTTGTCCTAAATAAATTTATGAATAGTTATAAATAAACACAAAGAAAGTAAATTTGGGGCAAGGATCTTCCTGTAACCCCAAGCACCTTGTATAATGCCTAACACAAAGGCATACTAGATATGTGCTTGAGGAATTCACACTGTAGCTATAACAAAATAACTAAAAATTTATTTTTTTTTGAGTCATTCTCACTCTGTCGTCCAGGCTGGAGTGCAGTGGCCTGCTCATGGCCACCGCAGCCTTGACCTGTAGGCTCAGGTGATTCTTCTACCTCAGCCTTCCAAGTAGCTGGAACTACAGACACACGCCACCATACCCAGCTAATTTTTTTAATTTATTGTAGAGAAGAGGTCTTGCCAAGTTGCCCAGGCTGGTCTTGAACCCCTAGTCTCAGGCAATTCTCTTGCCTCAGCCTCCCAAAGTGCTGGGATTACAGGCGTGAGCTACTGGCTCACCAAAAAGATTTTTTCCTAATTACAAATAACCTTTCTCTTCAAAATAGTGTATCCAAACCTTGATTAACTTTTATCAGCAGTTTCACCTACCTTACTCACAGTGCTATAAGATAATGAATGGTGAAATTGTCAAAAAGAATAAGAGAATGAAAAGGTCTATATAATTCAACAACTGAATATTTAAAATGTAATTACACTATTTTCCAGCAATTTGATCAATATTCTCCTGAAATTACCACTAAGCAGAAATGATTTTTTTCCTCTTAGCTTTCATAGCACAAGGCTTTTACTTATATAGTGCATACAGCAAAGATCAAAAACACTTTGACTTTAGAGACATAGCCTTGAATGATAGAACAATACTATGGCTTCAGATCTCAGTGGTATACAAACATACAACAATCACATTCAAATAGCACTAGGATCCACAAAAATGAAACAGAAAAATAAAAATCTAAAGACAGGCCAGAACATTCCCACCTACTAGAGTTAAAACATACATGGACTGAAAACATACTTACATCAAAGCCCGTATTCGGATCCCAGCCAACATGTCCAATGTGCCTGAAATAAAAAATAGAAAAAATATACAAAAATCAAAACACATATGAAGCATCAAAAACATACCGCATATGAAATCCAATCTATATTTGACTTTAAATTTTTTGTTTGAACTAACAGTTCCCATATACATAACCATATTGTGAGAAAAGCTATGTATAAGGAGAACAAGATTCTAGCCCTGACTCTGCTACTAACTGAATCTTAATATTTTTGTACAATGAGCTAATAAAATAATGTATATAAAAATGTTTGAAATATGTTACATAAACCTAAAGCTTTTACTGCCTCTAGGCAGTAACTTTAGGCAATTTCCCAAATACTATTTAAACAGCAAAGTAAGAAAATATGTCTGTGTACAACAATTAGTTGTAACAACTCTAATTTTTCTTTTTCAAAAACATCTATTGAGTAATTGCTTTACCAAAAAAAAAAAAAAAAAAAAAAAGAGAGGGGAAAAAAACCTCCAACAAAGTCCATAGCTAAAAAGGTATCCAAGTGATGAAAGTTAAGCTTTCTCCCAAAAAGAAAAGAATTTTTTTTACCAAGTTAAAAATCAAAAGCAGCAAAGAATAAATAGAAAGTGAAGATAAGAACAACAAAAGACATGTCTTACTGGAAGTTGCTTGGCGTTCCAATATCTGCCTTGGTTAATCTCTTCTTTTTAGCTTTTCCTTTCTTCTTTTCTTTGGTATGAGAGATGTTGTTAACTTGTGAACTATAAAATCTATTTGTTGTGATTTCTGGATTTTTTATGTCAACTGTAGCCATGGGTAGATTAGGGCCTGCAAATAAAGGGATATAACTTAGGATAAACATAAACAATAATCATTTATAATTACATGTCTCTTTCTGAAGTACAATCACTTCATTATAAATTATTTAATTTTAATTTAAACCTGCATGTTAATTTTTTAAATTAACTGCCTAATTTCTAAATTTTTAAACAAATTAGCATAGATACATTATTTCAAAGCCAATCTGTATTTTTATAACATTAAATCTCGTAAAGAGTATCAACTGACAACTAGAATTTAAATTTAATTGGCTGATGTCTTAAATTTTGACTTAATATCCTTATACCCAACACATATTACTCACTGGTAATATGAAATGTATCTCATAACAACAAAGACAAATAAAGTAAAATAAGTACCTATTCATTTTAAAACTTAACAAAGAGTCTAGGCTTAGCACTCTGCTTCAACTTCATTAGTCCACGAGGAAAAAGTACTTATAAACTTATTTCTACCATTTTTTCCAAAACTGCCATTTTAAGTCCAGTAGTATTTTCCCCATAAGTATAGAATTCAAAAACTTAAAATGAGAAATTCTTAAAACACTCATCTATGCAAAATTTAATACTAAAAATATCACAGGCACCTTCAGATATTACTCATAGCATCTTCAGGAATGACTAAATGTAGCACCAAACTTATAAGTAAAAGAAAAATCTTAAAAACAAGAAAGTCTGAATTCTAAGTATTCAACTTAAAAGTTTCTTACAAATTTCACCAAAGAGCGACAAATGTACTTTAGTGACCGTATTTTAATATATGATAAAAACTGATATAAACTATCAGACCGGGTTCATGTGAGGTGATTACATTATTACAACTTTCACAATGGTGCATAAAATACTATCACCACTGTGTAGAAAGAGTGAACACAGCAGGCTGGAAGTAGCTCTCCTTAGAAAGGCTCACTTGTAAGGCGGGCTGTCGGCTACTGGGAACTGGAATTTTAAGATGGTTCTCACCATTCTCTGACAACATGGGCTCACTGAGTCTAAACTATTTGTGCTAACAATGCGGTTTATGCTGACCTCCTGCTTTCCTTCTGGGAGTCTGGAATCTCACTATGCACTTACTAGCCCCCATCAAAAACCCTGGGCACCAGGTCTCAAATGACCTTTCTCTTTCGACAACATTTCACATGCCATCATATTTCAATACTGGAGGAATTAAACACAATCTCTGTAACTACTGGGAGAACTCTTGAAAGCTTCTGGGGTTTCCTATGAACTTCATTCCAACTGTCTTTTCCTTTGCTGATTTTGTCTTGTATTTGTCTTCTCACTAAAATAGTTGGGATAAGCATATGAGGAAGGATCCTCCCCTTCACCAAAAAAACTCAGAATTATCTTTTGGAAGGTAGGTCCCTTGTAGTCTTGGCTTTGCCTGTTAGGAAACCCATCAGCAGTATACCAGCTAGCATTGCTGTAAGAGGCTGCATTTGGCTTCAGTGAATTTTGTTTTGGAGATTCTTTTTTTTTTTTTGAATTGGAGTCTCACTATATTGCCCAGACTGGAGTGCAGTGGCCGCTCCCGGCTACCGTAGCCTCGACCTGCTGGGCTCTGGCGATCCTTCCGCCTCAGCCTTCCAAGTAGCTGGAACTACAGGCGTGTGCTACCATGCCCCGCTCATTTTTAAAATTTATTGTAGAGATGAGGTCTCGCGAAGTTGCCCAGGCGGGTCTCGAACCTGCGGGCTCAGGCGATCCACTCACCTTAGCCTCCCAAGAGGCAGGATTACAGGCTGAGCCACCAAGCCCGGTTTGTTTTGGAGATTCTTTCAACGCGTTTGTCCATTTAATGGTGGGTGAATTAAGAGTGCACCTGCCCACAACACGCTGAGTATTCAGCAGTTTTTGACCAAAAAACGGCATGACTCCCATACCCCACTCTCTCTATTCACCCAATCTTGCCCTAAGGCAACTTTTTTTTTGGTTTCCCCGATTCAAAAAACCCTCAAAGGGAAACATTTTGCTGATATGGAAGAGGTGAAACAAAAAAAGGCAGAAATACGAAAAGGCATCAAAATAGACAAGTTCAAACACTGTTTCTGAGCAGTGGAAAAAGTGAAAAGTGCCTCGACAGGTGTATTGTATGAAATGGAGAGTACTTGGAAGGTGAATGAACTTTAAACATGTAAGAATACACAATTTTTTATAAATAAATTCTGGGGTTTTTTTGGTCCCCCTCGTAACTACATATTGAATCCTTCTGGAAAATCTTCAATCATGTGGATGGTCTTGGGGACCCCCAACACAATCATTAAGTGATCAATAGAAATCTCAAGAAATTATAGGTCAATGCAGAGTAGGTGATAATTAAATGCCAATATGACTGTAATTCTCTAATTATGCCCTAAACCACTAATGTATCCTACTTATTAAAGTTATCTGAAAGTGGCTTGACACAGTGGCTCACACCTGTAATCGCGGCACTTTGGGAGACTGAGGTGTTTGAGCCCAGGAGTTCAAGACCAGCCTAGACAACACAGTGAGACATCATCTCTATAAAAAATTAAAAAATTAGCTTAGCCGGGCTCGGTGGCTCAGCCCGTAATCCTGCACCTTTTGGAGGCTGAGGTGAGTGGATTGCCTGAGCCCGCGGGTTCGAGACCCTCCTGGGCAGCAAGACCTCATCTGGACAATAAATCAAAAAATTAGCCGGGCGTGATAGCGCATGCTTGTAATTCCGGCTACTCGGAAGGCTGAGGTGGAAGGATCGCTGGAGCCCAGCAGGTCGAGGCTGCGGTGGACAGGGGCGGATACTGCACTCCAGTCTGGGTGACAGAGTGAGACTCCAACTCAAAAAAAAAAAAAAAAAAAATTAGCTGGACATGGTTATTCATGTTTGTAGCCCCATCAACTCAGGAGGCTAAGGTGGGAGGATCACTTAATTAAAGTTCAGGAGGTAGAGGCGGTAGTGAGTTGTTTACCTACATGGGTAAATTGTACCTGTTTTCTCCCAGATCTACTATTAAAGATGAAACAAAGGTAAAACAAATTTATGAACGCTGTTTGTACCTTACCAAACAAGTAAATAATTTGTGAAGATGTGTATATTTTAATAATATCACCAAAATTTGACTAATTTCCCATAATATTCCCATAATATTCAAAATTTGACTATTTTCCCATAATATTCCCATAATATACCCATAATATTCAAAGTCTATTTACATGTACATATGTAAAGAATCCTAAGGTTTTATTTATAATTCCATTTAAAAATTCCACAGGAAGTTGACTGATATTGGCAAGAAATAAAGTAATATTTCGAAAAAATTGGAAGCTAGTGAATAATAAGGAAAAATCATAAAAGCCTTTTCAGTGTAAAGAAATATTCTGAAAATAACTACATCAAGAAATGAAGGTTAATTAAGCAGTATTTAGGAGATTTGAATGTTCAAGTTTGTTCAGATATCAGATCAGTATTTACTGCAGTTGCACAAAATAAGAGATTTACTGAGACGACCCAGAATGCAGGGGTTAGAGGGCTGAATTGGGGCCACATACCCAAACTTATCTGGTGATCTATTTTTACTTATCATTATTCCCTTTCTGTCCTCTCTGCTCTTGTAACCTGTCTTTACTAATCAGCACCAGCAACACCAACCTCAATAAGATGCTACAAATTATATTTACTCTTTTGTCTTTAAATCCAATACAATTTAAGAAGTAACTTAAGATAGACTTAGGAGTATCAGAGTTAGGCATTCTCTTTATTAACACTACCTTTCCTGAAATAGGAGTTCAAGTAGCAACTATAAGGGAACAACTAGACTTGCCGGTAAAACATAAGAACAAAAACCAACCATATTTGGAAAAAAATAACAAAAATATTTTATGCTGCTTTAGCTTATATAAAAGTCATCTATTACACTATATATGACCTACATGGACAGAGAGTTGGGTAAAGGTAAGTTTAATGATTTTAATTATCCAAGCTAATACATTCTTTTTTGAAAAACAAAGTTACTGTAACCCTGATTTATAACTCGCTAGAGAAAATAATTCAGCTGTCTCTGAAGAAGACTCAAGAATGAAGAGGACAGGAACCAAATATAAGTGGTATGTGGAATGAATAACTGTGTTTAGCACATACTGTAGTCAGACTGTGTTTCCCTTCCCCTCTTCTATCCCCAAATCAGGTATGAATATACTGTTATGTATCTGCCACATGGTTTATAAAGCCTTGACAATCTCTCTTTGGAATCATTAGAGATTAATTTCATTAATAGTCATTAAAATATTCTTTAAATAAGCAACATAGAATAATCTAGATTATACAGGTGCATAGAAAATTAGTATTAGATGGAAAAGTAGAGTTTGTTTTCCAAATTTTTCATTTTACTCATGAAAACTAAAGACAAGAAGAGGTAGGTGCCCTGTGTAAAGTCCTACAATTAGTGGCAGAGGCAAAAGCTAAACTCTGGTATCTGGGCTCCCCATTCACTACCTTTCTTCCTGACTGTAGCACCTTTTACACAAAAGTCAAACTACAAGGTGGCTGGCATTCCTAACTTTACAAACGTTGTAACATTATTTCTTTACCAGTTTTTCAGTTCTGTTGGTTTGTGGTCCAACAATTATTCATTCAATAAATATTTACTATCAACTTTCAGAATTAGGTATAAAGGATTTTCAACACATCCGAGAGATTAGGAACTCGGTTATTTCTGTTGATAATAGTTATTTACTTTAAAATTTGAAGATGTTAGAAAATAAGTTTAAAATGATATTCTAAAGTCAAATTAAGCATGTTTCAAAAGTGACACTAAAAAATTGATAACCTATTTAAAGACGGGTTTTTTTTAAATAATGTAAAGTTTATGAATGCTTTAGTAACGGAGAAATGTACTAGAGTTATTTCTAGCAAAGTCTAATTTAACTGTTCCATTTATGAAGTTATAATCATCCTAAGAATACCTACTAAGTAAATATATAACAGAGGGGGCTGTTTTCCGTCTTTTCCAGGAAACAACAACGAAACACAATGACAAATTCCCTGCTGATGAAGGACAACTGTCACAGGAAAAGTTGTAAAATATTCTTAGACATTTCTATTGCTCTAAATCTAAAAGAACAAACTCAAGTTTCCCACTAACTACACAGAAAGCAGAGTGCTCTCACCAAGGTAAAATAGTTGAGAGGCCTCTGATGTCAAGCAGTCATGAAGCTGAGAATAAATCACTGGAAAGCACGAAAGCTAAAAATGGAGACTGACCAATAAAGAAATTAGTAGTTAGTGAATTTTATGAATATATGTAAATTCTACATAAAGTGTCCTTTTAATAATTACAATTTGAAAAGGTCTGGTAAACTAATATAAATACGGATCTAAGACAAAGCACCTGCGCGGCTACTGCCTGACATGGCTAAGGTGTCCACTGCCACCTAGTGGTAGTGTGTCTCCACGCAGTGGGGAATGCAAGACAATCTACAGAGGAAAAGATGAAAACTTCTATTAATAACTATTTATTTCATTCCATTCTGTACTGTGTATGTAATATATTATATGCATATTTTATAAATAAAAAGTATGAAAGTATTGGCAGTACATGCTGTATAATTTTGTCCTTTAAAGAAATTATTTTTTTAAAAAACAACTTTCTATTTAATGAAAAAGTTTGAGATCACTGCACCAAATGATTAAAATTATAAAACTAAAGACTTAAAACCAATAGCAATCACAGAGAAACAAACTACATTTAATTCTAAGTGCCTCTCCTAGCAGGGATAATAAAATTGTGAGGCATCACAATTTTAGAAAATAAAGTAGTCAGTCTCCATATCCATGGATTCTGATTCCATGGATTCAACAAACTGCACATTAAAAATAAAAATAAAAGGGTGGTTGCATCTGTACTGAACATGTACAGACCTTTTGTCTTGTCATTATTCTTTAAACAATACAGCATAATTAACTACTGACATAGCATTTACATTGCAATGTTATAAGTAATCCTGAGATGATTTAAAGTGTATGGGAGGATGTGCATAGGTTATAAGTAAAGACTATGCCTTTTTATATCAGGGACTTGAGCATCTGTGAATTCTGATATCCATGAAGGGTCCTGGAACCAATCCTCCACGGACACCAAGAGACGACCTGTTTTTATATCTTTAACTTCAGTTACATGATTTGTACAACATCTACACTTCAAAAGCTCAGGGTCTTTTCCCCAAAGTGGTACTCAATACTGTACATGCTCACCAAACTCAAAATAATCTAACAAATTCAAGAAGTTAAAATACTGGGCATATATAAAGGAAAAATTCTAACACTCCATTAAAAGATCACAGGTGAACGACTTGTGCCTCAGCTGCTTCTCCTTTTGCCTCTGCCACATTCTAACTTACATATCTTGAGACATGCATGTTATCCTCTCTTGGTCTCAGTTTCTCCTTCAAAATCATCTTGACATACCTTAGTGGTTAAGGGGCTAGGCTTTATAGAGTCAGAGCACTTGAGGCTAAATCTTGCTTTTCCACTTAATTAGCTATGTGACCTTGAGCAAGTTACCACCTATCTGTGCCTCAAGTTTTCTTATCTATAAAATGAGGATAAGAGGAGCTACTTCAGAAGGTTGCTGAATGGTATCCAGTGGGTAGTAAATGATCATTAAATAGTAGCTGCTATTATTGTTGTTGTCATCGTTTTCATCAGGATATTTATTAAGCACTATGCTAAGCTTTGATTACCTCATTTAATTCCTCTAGCAGCCCTGTAAATAAATAGTAATACTTCTGTTTTAAAAAGAAAGTCAAAGTATATAATACTTTGCACACAGAAGCACTATTAACTGTAGTTAGCTATTTAAAAAATAACAGTAAGGCCAGGCTCGGTGGCTCAGCCTGTAATTCCGGCACTTTGGGAGGCCAAGACGAGTGGACTGCCTGAGCCTGCGGGTTCAAGACCCATTCAGGCAACTTGGTGAGACCTCATCTCTACCATAAATCAAAAATTAGCTGAGCATAGTAGCATGCACCTGTAAGTTCCAGTTACTTGGAAGGCTGAGGTAAAAGGATTGCTGGAGCCCTGCAGGTTGAGGTTGCAGTGGCCAGGAGCATGCCTCTGCACTCCAGTCTGGGTGACAGAGTGAGAATCCAACTCAAAAAATAAAATAAAATAAAATAATAATAATAATAATAATAATAAGTATCCAAAAATTTAATACAGCAACATTTGGTTCATGTTTTCGTATAAGAAAAACAAATTTAAGGACAAAATCAGAAGGTAATATATCTGCTTGAAGAAACAAAGCCCAACAATCATCAATGGCTGTCATATATTAAGAACTTTGTATTATGTAAGCTTTCCTTGAATAATCATTCTAAGTCATAATAAGAGGACTCGCGATGCTTTTAAAAAGAAAAAGCTATATTCCCTACTACAATGACAGTTCCTGGAAGTTCTTTACCTTCACCAAGTCAGGGACCCAATTTAAATGAAATGAAAGCCATGGATTCTCTCTCCAAAGAAAAGAACATAGACACTTATAATTCAGGAAGGTTTTATAAAGCCCAGAGGGGTCTGAGAACTTATCTTCTATATTTTGGTATTCTGCTTCTACACTCCGGTATTCAATATTTTTTGAAAAATGAATTCATAATACTTCAAGTGTCCATTATCAAATTACAGAGCATTATATGCAGTTACAATTAGTTCTAAACATATTATCACAGTGACTGTTCATTCTGAAAGGGGCTTCACAATAACACTTAACCAATGTGAAATAATATTTTGAAATAAAAAAAGGTAAATCCAGGACATAACAAAAATGCTACACAAGACATGCTGCTTTTAAGAAAGAGTTTATAGCCAGATTGTTATGTTTAGTCAACTATGAATACAGAATTAAGATCTATGTATTAGTGATCCTTATCCTATATATTCTTCCTTCATGCTAAAAGAGTACGTTTCCTGACTCTCATCTGTCATTCATTAATTTAAAATAAGAACACAGTAAACAACAGAATTTGATCATAGACACTAAATATTAAGTATAATGTATGGTACATGTTTCCACAGGATTAAACTATACTCTAAAATCCTTTTGATCAATAATTTTCAAAAAGCTTACCATTTGGGGGGTCTCGTCTTTTCTCTGTTTGAAAATAAATTAGGAGAATATTATTAGACATACATAATACAACATCAACATAAAATAATTCACTTAAACTCTGTCTTATTCCTAAATTGATGTACAGAAGAATAAGGAAGGTTTCTTAGAAAAACTGACATTTAAGCAAAGAGCTAAATAAAGTGAGGAAGGGCACAATACATTCAAAGGCCCTAGGAAGGATACAACATGGAAGAACACCATGAAGACGGACTGGAGTAGGCAAAAGGCACAGGGTAGATAAGTCAGTAGAAAAGTCAGGGCTGGATCGTGTGGGGCCCACAGTTCACGGTTAAGAATTGTATGACTTTATTCTGTATTATCACAGGGAGGAGGAACTCTTACAGGATTTTAAATAGGGCAAATGACAGAATCCAGTCCATGTTTTTAAGAGTGTTCTACTGTATAGAACGGAAATAGCAGAAGGGCTAGACTGGCAGCAGGGAGACCAGTTAGGGAACTATGGGGGTAGTCTAGATGACAGATCATGGTGGCTTGGATGAGGATGGTAGCAGGAGTCAAGAAAAAGTGAGATCCAGGACATGTCTTTGAAGGCAAAGCCAACAGGTCTCACTGATAGGATTTATAAGGGACATGGTAAGCCTGAGTGATAAGGGGGAGTTACACACCTTTTACTGAGACAAGGAAGATGAGAAGAATACCAGAAACAGGTCTAAGTAGGCTGGGGTTGGGGACACGGGTCAAATGTTCTTGCTCAGACATGTCAAGTCTGAAGACCACTTCGCTACCTGACTTAGCTAAAGACCAGGGGAGATGTCAGCACTGAAGATAAAACTGGGGGAGTCACTGACATACAGATACTTTTCAAGGCTATGAGACTGGATGAAAGCACAGACGGAATAAGAAGGGCCAGAGAATTCAGAGCACTGGGACTGATCAGAAACATACTGAAAGCTACAGCCAATTAGGAAAGAGAAAACTAGGAGAATTTTCTTCAATGCAATGCATTCACACTCTTACATACCAAGTTTGCTTAGAAAAAAACAATATTTTGGCTTCTAAAAAGTTCAAAAGTGGTTGAAGAATTTTGAACATGTGATTTCTATAGATTTTCTAATACTTTTTCTAAAATTATAAGAAAAATACTGGGCAACCCCCCTGGGCCACCCTCCCACTCTGGGAGCTTTTCTGTCCTCTCAATAAATGCTGCTTTCTCAAAAATAAACAAACAAACAAACCCTATCAATAACTGATGCCATAAAATAGTTATATAAAGTAGTCTTAAGAAGCAATTACTTAGATATATGACAGCATCTGCTTGAGAGCAATACCTGTGAAAAAGGGGGAGGGTCTGGTTGAACAAAAGAGAACAGAGAGGAAAGCATAAGGAATTTGCTAGAAGTATTAGCAGAACAGTGTTGAAATAATCAAGAGATGTTTTAGTATCACAGTACTACTCAGCGACTATACATGGAGCACTGTGTTCAAATCTGAAAAATATATTTTAAAAAAAGACGTACAAACTGTAGTAGATTCAGAGATCATAAGCTGTATCACAGAAATAGTGCGAGAAACCGGGACTGGTTAGATTAGAGGATAAGGAGGACAGGACAGATGGCTCCTGATATGAAATAACTATTGTGAGGAACAGAAACTAGAAGGATTCTTTGTTGCTCCACAAGTCAGACCCCACATATCCAAGATAAAATGAGGTAAAGACAGAGGATGACAGCATGAAGGACCACCAGAGGGTAACTCAGGAGCCTGCCTAAGGCTATCCTCTGTATAAACCACCATGCCAGGTGAAAGACACCTTTCACTTACCAATTACAAAATCAATTATTTTACATTTCAAGGAGTTTTTTTTGTTTTTTTTTTTAACTTTTTGATATTGAAAATGCTGAAAAAAGCCCCAGGGAGCCTCTGGCCTGCCTCCACAGCATGCCCCACCCCCAAACAGGCACTGACTTATTTCTAAAGCTGAGATTACAATACCACAGCATTAAAACCTTTCCTAGCATGAAATCAAGTGGTAAATACCCTTGGTCCCAAGAGGTATCAAAAAATAATAAGCTGCTAATAATTATATTCATATTTATTCATTATGAATAGAATACTACAAGACAGCAATAGTAAAGCAACAACTTAGCTCACTTTATTTTCATTTTTACCTCACCTCCCTCTTGAAACCTACTAAAATAACAACAAAGATGTATAAAATGAGATATATGCTTTTCCACTGCTGTTTTCCAAATCCAGTGTGTTCCTTTTTCTTGGCGTATTCCCTGTTGGAAAGCACATCCCTGAACACAATGATCTGCAAACTGGGATGACATGTACCCCTGAAGTACAGAAACACTTTCCAAAGAGCATAAGAGCACAGCTGGTGTCAAGGGTGTCTCTTAGTCTATCTCAGCTCCCATGTTATCTCTCCTAAAACTGAAATGCTTCAGATGATGATTTTGGCGAGGTCTGCCTTTCTTAATCACCTTTTTCCACCTTACAAGAGAAAGGCCTAGTACACTGTTGTGAAACAGTAATTCTACACCAATTAATTTAAACCTCTAAATCATCCATTGTTCTCTAGTTGCTTTATATGTGTTAGAGTTGTCTCATGCACTAAATAAGTTCCTCATGGTTTTATAGCATACAACATTAGGGACAGAAATAAAAGACAAAGCAATGTTTACAGATCTTGTTTGCAACTTTGTTTACTTGTCTCTAAGTTTATCTAAAGCCTTTGTTCACAAAATATAGGATACTTTTAAAAAATTAAGTTACAAACAATGCCATTAAAATGCAAATTTAAGAGTCAGTATCCACGTAATTTTATCAACAAAAAAGGTTACTACTGGAAAGGGTCCTAAAGTAAATCTGAAAAAGATTAGTTCTCAATTAAAATATTATTTCTTTTAAGGTAAAGACTGCCAACTTTTTTTGTAAAGGGTCATATAGTAAATATTTTAGGCTTTGAGGACCATATAGTCTCTGTCTTAACTATTCAACTGTGTTGTGGGAAAAAAAAACCAAACAAACAGTAGACAATATGTAAAGTAATGAACACTGCTGGATTTCAATAACCTAATTTACAAAAAGTGTGGCCCACATTTGTCTTAGGAGCTGTATTTTGCTGGTTCATTTTAAGTAATTAAAGAAAAAAGGTTACCAGATTTCCTTTGTCGCCGACCCAACAGGTCTGTAACTGCTTTTCGAAATTTTTTTGCTTCTTCTTCATTGGCAAAATTAAGGGCAACTTGACAAGTCTGAAATATTTTCACCAAAAAGGGCAAACAACAGAATATGCGAATTTAGCTTTATATCACAAAAATAACAATGAAAGAAGTGTATTTCTAAAGGAAAGGTTAACGTTATTAGCACACATTATTTTATGATCAGATAACTTGAGAAAAAGTATAAAGTAGGTAAAGGAAAAGACTACTGAATTGTACCCCGCATCTTTAAAACAAAAAAAATTAAAAGTTAAAAAAAATTACAATAGGCAACAGTAACATCAAAGATCACTGATCACAGACCAATATAACAAATACAGTAATAGTGAAAAAGCTTGAAATAAGAACTACCAAAATGTGACACATGAAATTAAGCACACACTGTTGGAAAAAATGGAGGTGACAGACTTGTATCAATTGATGTAGGGTTGCTGCAGACCTTCAATTTGTAAATGTGATATCTATGAAGTACTGAAATAACCATCTGTATTATCATATTTGTAAGGTGCCTTATATAGTGGTTCCTCAAAAAATTAACCCCTTGTATTTCTCTCAGAGGGGACATTGTAAATCTAGCAAACCACTCAGGTTCCCAGGTAGAAGACGTCAATACAAACTACTACTGAACTACATGTATCAATGAACCTGCACTGCATGTCAGTGACTGTTTCACAAGTACCACACGTTAGAAAAATATAAGATATAAAATTTTGATTTTTTTGGTCAGAAATAAGTTCTATTATAAGTCAAATATCATTACAATAAAGTAACTGGTTCCAATGCTAACAACAACAAAAAAGTAAAAAAGTATTAGAGAAGTTACCTATCACAGAGTCAATCAAATAATACATTGAATACTTCATCTTCAACAAAAGAAAAAATAGTAAATTGAGCTGGATCTTTCAGTAGGGCTCTATAAAGAATTTGAATCAGAAAAAGATAAGTAATGGAAAAATTAAACATGACAATAAAGAAAAATATGACTTACATCTCCAGCAAAGGTATGAAAATATCCTCTAGGACTGTTATATACAAAGTTATTGTATAGCTCTTGTTCCCACAATAGCTTCCCATCCTAGAAAAAAATAAAAATTAAAATAACTCCCTCCCAAAAAAGTCTCTAGGAATGAAACAAAGCAGATGACTCATATTAAGGAAACTGTTAATATCAAAAATGACTTTTATGTACACATATGTAACATGTATAATATATAAGTAGGATCAAATAATTTAATCAGTGATTTCTTCATAACAAAACAGTAAACACTGGATAACATGTCTTTTGTAAAACCTACACATCAAGTGAATTTAATTCAGTATGCTAAAATATAATTTTATTAGCAAAGCATTTCCAAATACAGTCACTTGGTCAAATATATAACCAGAATAATATTACATCATGAATGTCACATAGAAGCAGTAGGGTACTCTAGTACATGCACAGATCCATTAACAATAATTGGACTATGCAATATCAAATATTATAGGAATACTTCACTCTTTTCCTCAATTTTATAGATGTAGAAGGGTCAAAGATATCTTCTCTGTACTTCATTAGCCAGCTAATTAAATATTGGTATAAGCAGTATCAATCACGCTGCAGAAAGAGACTGATAATTAATTAACACATCAAGGTTAAACTATGGGTAAGAAGCCATGGATGAATGCCATATCTGTCTATAAGAAATATATTTAACTTTAATACCAAAGGTGACTAAGTGTGACTGTTCAGCAATGGTTACCTACAATTGGAAATAAGTGATTAGAGAAACAAGCTGTGAAAATCTAAATATACCTATGAGGAGAAACGATGTAAGAAAAATTTATGTAGCGAATACATTTCTAAATATTGTTTACTGCTTTAAACCGGGGCTAAATAACAGTACATCCCAAGCTAAAATATTCTTTTGTTGTTCCCTGAAAGGACCATGTATGTTATTCTATAATGGAAAAGCTAGAATAAAAGAGTACCCTTAGAAAAAGAGAGCATGGAAAAAGCCCAAAGGCATAATTTTAAATAAAAAGCTTTAATGTGTGGTAGCAGTGGAAAGATAAAGTAGGAAACTATTCATGTCCTGGCTTAGAACATGCTCATATTTGGTCACAATGTGTATACTTCAATATCTAAAACCAAGCTTTGCCATTCCAATATTAGTTTAAGTACACTTTAACTATTACATACAGGATAAATAAATAAATCTAAACTAAATTATAATTGAGGTAGAAAACCTGATCACCTGGAGTTCAAAGTGAAAGCAAAGCAAAACTCACCTTAATGTCAAATATTCTTAAAAAATAAGATCTCTGTGGATTGTCCTTAACAAGACAAGCAACACCACTGCACTTCTTTGACCACATACAGTTCCGATCTGCTGCATATAACTGTACCACAGCCGAAGACATAGTCTGCAAAATAAAAAATGTATAGCCATTAGGTTCAAAATAGCACTCAGATGATCACAACAGCCCTGGCTGACCACTTGACGCAACCACCCAGCTAATCTGCTCCCGAGTCTCTGACTCACAGAAATGAAGAGACAAACATGTATCATTATTTTCAGCCATCACTTTTTGAAGTAATTTCTTATACAGTAATAAATAACTAATGAAATAACCATATAACAGTAATTATTGAAAGTTAACATTTATTGATGCTGAAAATGTTTTAGGAAATGTGCTAATCACTTTCAACAATAACCCCATTTGATTTTTATTACTTCGATAACCTTATTTTATACTTGAGAAACCCAAAACTAAAGAGGGTAAGTAATTTGCTCAGTATCACACAGCTAAGTGGCAGAAGTGAAATTCTAATACATGCAATCTGTAACTTCAAATCTTCTTTTCCTACTCCCCATATTAGACAGTTTCCCACTAAAATGAACATTTAAGCAATGAAGTAGTTGGATTAGTAAAGGTTGGTTTCTATAAAGCAGTTCAACACTTTAGTAAAGGTACTAAGTTATGGTAACTAATTATGATGCTAGACACTTTAAACATATTATCATTCTGGAAGGCACAGTAAGTATAATATCTCCTTTTTAAAGTGATCTTAAGATTTTAAGTCATTTGTGCAACAGGCTACACAGTTTGAAAGCAATACTGAGGTTGTGAAATACAATTTGAGTGACAATAGTCTCAATTTTAAGTACAGCCCTTTTGGATGTACAGGAGAGAAGCTGATTACAAATAGTCGACTCCTTAGGGCATTAGGGTTTTCCAGTACACCATGTTGCCATGACTGTATTTAAAATGATAGAAATTTCCATTGTATTCTAGATTAAGTTGCTTTTATGTTACAACTATTCAATCTTCATATCTGTAAAAGTGATACACACATGTAGTGATAAAGTACTTACAAATACTCTAAAAGCAATAATCATGTTTTCTCTTGAGTAACCTCACTCCTAAACTAGAAATTAAGGGAATAATTTAGAGGATTAATAAGAAATGTGTATTCTTAAGTATATGTAAAAATATTTTATATGAATACACATCAATTACGGTTTTTAAAAATAGAACTGAAATAACCAAAAGGAGTTGATTAAGCAATTATGGTATCTTAGATTGGTTTTGTAATAACAAATAAACTACATTAAGATTTGGAGATACACTGTTTTAGGTTTTATTTAACTATGCCTGAGGACTGCCCTCTTTTGGTAACAGGACTATTATATCGACAAAACTTTTATAATAATATTTAATGTTATTAAATGTATGATCAGTGTAATGTTAGCGAACAAAAGTTCATAAAGACTTGCCCAAATACTAGAGTTAAACATTATGTTTTTAACTTTTACAGACCAAACTCATCTTTGACCTTCACATACTGTCATGAACAGGGCATAGAGAAGCAGGAAAATTTCTACAACAAAAGCAATTAACAATTATGAAGATAAATTAGAAACATGAAAAACGTATGCAATGGGACACTGAGTTTATAAGAGGAGACTGATGACTACAGGTACACCTTTTATCATCAAAACACCTGTGTTCTTCTCAAAACACCTGTGTTCTTCTGCAAGTATACAATCTCAGGGTGATAGCTCCATAGGCTTCCTGCCCCCACCACTAACAACTTCAGAAAAATGGATTTTGCATATATTAGCCAAAGATATCAAATAACAGGCTGAGAAGTAAAAAATCAAAAGGGCAAATTTGTTTTCTAAGGAGAACTCATATAAACAAAAGCTTTTATAAGTATGCTGTCAAAATACATTCATTTCTTAAAAGAAAAGTAATTAGGAAACTAAATGTGCCAAGACAAAGATCTAAAAATCTCCTTACTTTACTTTTAAACCAGAAAACAAGAAGTAACCATTTGCTAAAGAAAAAAATGTGTAATTTAATAGTCTGAAAATCCACTGCCAGCCAAAGAACCATATTAATATTGTAAAACATCATGTAGATGTATACATGAACTTAAAAAAAGCAAACAAAAAACCCCTCAAAACTAAAAATCCACATTTAAACATTTATACAAATTTAAAACAAATTCTTAAAACAGCCACTTAAAAAATAAAGATTAATTTAACAGTACTACAATTTTCTACATAGAAATGGTTTAGCATTATAAACCTTATTCTAAAACTAAAAAGAATGCAACTATTCATGAGAGATTTCTAATAACTGAGTTTTCAAAAATTTGCTACAATATTATTATCAGTCTAAGTGTGTCTATTTCATTCCTTCTTACCTTAAAATGGCAAACCTGAAAATGACATGCCATGGCATCTTGCAAAACTTTTTCTGATAAATTCAGATTATAGTAAATGCAAGAATAGTTTGCACACAACACTGGATAGTGCACGTAAGTGCTACACAATATAAAAACAGTAACTACCCCTTAAACTCTAGATTGACAGTGACTTAATTAAAAATTTAAAAACATTCCTTTCATTCCTTTAAAGAAATTACAGCTAACCAACTCTATTACTTACTGTCTTTCATAATCAAGAAGATATTAATGAAAAACAACCTAAGAACAAGTGCTTAGGAAGGGAAGTCTATTTCTTACTAGCCCAATAATGTTAAGGCTAAAATTTGTTAATTAAAAGGGGGGAAAAGTAACTATCAACTTTCTAGAAACAAAACCCGTGTTCTATCTTGTGTGTTCCTGATATTTCAGTACTGAGTAACTGTAGTAACACATTCATCCTCAGAACTTTCACTGTCAAGGGCAGAAATAAAATGGGGGATGTATTTTAAGGCAAGTGACTTCCCTCCCAGTGTTCTTCAGCAGTGCACTTCTACCTCTCTTGGGTTGACTTTGCATCAGTCAAGAAGTATTTCCCTGGCTCCTTAGGCTGGAATGACAGATTCTTCTTCACTTCTAGAGTACATCTTGCATTACTTTGTTATGCCATTGACCTTATTCTAAAATAGAATAATTTTCTGTATTGATTTGTTACCCATTAAAAAGACTACAATTCCCTTAAGTATTTAAAATAGTTTCGCAAGCCTATGCTTTCACTTCACCTATACTTTGTCCCCAAGTAAGCAAATATTTGTTAAATTACAAACTGCATATTCTGATTTTGATAAAGACACTATGACAATGAATAAGAGCACAAATTTGTTTTTAGAATATATACTCTGAAGTATTGTAAGGGTGCATCATATCTACAACTTATTCTCAATTTATTCAGAAACAATAACATGCATGTATATGTATATAGAGAAATAACTATGTAAAATTATAAACATCTGGCAAATCTGGATGAAGATATACAAGAATTCTTTGTACTGTATTTGCAACTCTTCTGTAAGTATGAAATTATTTCAAACTAAAAACTTTTAACAAGCACAAATGATTCATAAAAATATATGATTCTTGGCCCTCTTTCACAGCCATGGCAACCTTAAGAGGGTGGCTTTCTTCTCAAAGCCATTACTACCTCTATGTGCATTAGCCATTGCTGTACTGACCAAAAGTAAGAACACTGCCACTTTTTAATTCCCTTTATACATATACTAACTTTGTTAGAGGAAGCAGCATCCTGAGTAAGGCTTAACTCACAAATATCCAGTCCTTTCACTGCTTAAATTCCTTTCACATTTTCAAAATAACCATGTTATATAACAGGTTTTAGATAAGAAACATAGGGGTTTCTCTTCAGCTAATGACAGAGAAAGACTAGAAAATATAGGACTCCTAGATCCTTGCTTTTAACAATCAACTGACTACAACAAATACTAAGATGACTTAATATTGAATAACTAGCTACAATAATTTTAATAGTCTAATAAATATACATGGGTGTTAAAATATTCAAAGATATATTTTCAATAAATATCCAAATAAATCAAATGTGGAAAAAAAATCTCATGACTTAAAATCAAGTCTCTTCTATGATCACTACTGGCCTAAATTTTGTTGCTGTTGTTCCAATCTGGTTTATCTTTTTTTTTTTTGAGTTGGAGTCTCACTCTGTCACCCAGACTGGAGTGACCGCAGCCTCGACCTGCTGGGCTCCGGCGATCCTTCCACCTCAGCCTTCCAAGTAGCCGGAATTACAGGCATGTGCTACCACGCCCGGCTGATTTTTGATTTATTGTAGAGATGAGGTCTCCCTGCCCAGGCGGGTCTCGAACCTGCAGGCTCAGGCAATCCACTCACCTCAGCCTCCCAAAGGCAGGGGATTACAGGCTGAGCCACCGAGCCCGGCTTGGTTTATCTTTTTATTTTAAAGATGCGGGGTACAATTCAGGGTCAGGTATACAAATGTTGATTATGCAGGTACCCTTGTTGATGAGGAACGCCCTCCCTTCCCCAGGCAGAGTCCCACTACTGCCAATCCCGTTTCCCCACTTCTCCCCCAGCAGTTTCCTGCTACTACCAATCCTTTTCTTATAGTATTACGATAATTGTTCAAGGTCCACTTATGAGTGAGAGAACATGTGATACTCAGTTCTTTGTTTCTGTGATACATCACTCAGTATTATAGACTATAAGTCCATCCGGGTTGCTGTGAAGTTCATAATTTTGATCTTCTTTATGGCTGCATAATATTTCATCGTGTATATGTATCACATTTTTTTAAATCCAGTCTTCTTTTGATGGGCAGCACGGTTGGTTTCATGTTCTTGCTACTGTGAAAAATGCTGAGATAAACATACATGTGCAGGTATCTTTTTTATAGAGTGATTTGAGTTCTTCCAGGCATATTCCCAGTAGGGGGATTGCAGGGTCCTATGGAAGGTCCAATTTTTAGATCTTTTAGGAATCACCACACTGTTTTCCATAGAAGCTGTACTAGTTTACAGCTTCGTCAAATACTCCAACTTTTATATGCATGGTTATCTGTGTATCTGGTCCTAAATATCTAAAAACAAATCTGGGAAAATTCCCCATATAAAAGCTAAGTTTTAATAGATATCCAGATGCTTTGATGATATATTCACAT